ACTATCTTTCAGGAAGTTACAGGATTGGGTGAATGGTACAGGTGTTGTCAGCAAATGGATGATTTATCACAATTCACTGAAAGTTCTCTCTTCCAGAACTACGAATCAAAGTTGGTCGGAGGATCAATTCTGACCGCCTTCTTCATTCCCCATGATTGGATTACATGTTACTGCAGGCCTCCACAAACCATTAACTGTCATAATGTGCCTATATTCCATTTTTTCTGGGCCAGCACCGATATGGGTCCCACAGATCTATATCATAATAGGCATATTCATGACCCCCTAAAGGTCAAACATCCTGGTACTTTTGTTGGTAGATAATCATCACAAATCAAATTTTTAATGTTTGTTTTAGTTAATTTTGTGATAAGAAAATGCAAAAAACAGGACAAAATTAAATATATTCTTGTTTTTCATACCAACAAAAGTAACTGGATGTGTGACCTTCAGGGGTCACGAAAATGGCCTATTAAAACTGTCACCCATACACACGGTATTCCCTGCTCCATTCTTCCCTCGCCTATATCAGAGCACTTTAACGTTTACAAACAATATTTTACAACTTTGCATACACAACAAATAATACCCACACTACTTGTAATTTGTTGTGCAACTCTTTACCTGAAGAAGCTTCTTCTAATTTTTTGTTTATTCTGATCATTTACTGAAAGCATTTCAATAGAATAAATACAGTAGATTCAGTAACATTTACCATAAAAGTAACTACTAGAAGGAAAATTTTTCAAATAGCATGTCACACCTCCAATAGAATTACATTTGTTCATCAATATTTTGCTTCTCATAGGATCAGTAGTGTATATTTAGATGCATTTGCATTTTTGTCTGCAATTACTACAACAGTAGTAAAATGCACAAGTGCAATCACAGCCTAGGAAGTTAACTTTTTGGCAAAAAGCAAAATGCTCCTAAGCACTAAGAAATTAGGAGCAAAATGCTCCTAAACCTAAAATTTTAGGAGCAAAATTGTTTCATGCGTAAAACAAATAAAATGTGTTATGTTAAACTTTGCGTATATAACTACAATAATGAC